GCTTTATTGTCTTACTCCCAGACTCTTGATAGTTCACCTTCCGGGTGCTCCTGGGGCTTCCCCAGAGGGGTCACTGTGCACCTGCTGTCCAGTCAGCACGGCCGCGTGGGGCCCGCGACCCCGCGCGGGCGGCTGTGGCCCTGAGGGGCGGCCGGCTCGACCCATCCCCCTTTCCAGGGCACCCCCAGGCCGCCTGCCGCACACATCTTTCAGTGCCACCACTTTCCCACGTCCCCGCGGGTCCTCACAGGAGCCCCATAAACCCCACCTTAGAGACGAACTGAGGGCTGGAGAGGGGGTGTGCCCGGGCCCCGAGCCAGAGAAGGCTCCGTGCGGGGCCGGTGGCCGTCAGACCCCACCCTGGAGCGCCGGGTGCTGGGCCCTCCACCCGCTGTCCGTGGGGCGTCCACTCGCTGTGTCCGGCTCACAGCACCGGGGCCTCGGGTGCAAACTGTGTTCGAGTGTGGGCACCAGAGACCAGAGGCGGTGCAAAGTGCCCCCGAGGCGGACGGTAGGGCACCAGGAACTACGCGGGGAGGTTGGCAGAGCAGGTGGGCGGCGTGGGTCGGGCTTGCCCGGGCCTGACTCGCTCCTGGCGTTGAAGGGCAGCTCCTCCTGGCCAGGCAGGCGGGGGTGGCGCGGAGGGGTCTAGTGCCACCCTGTGAAAACACCTGCAGGAAGGTGAGTGGCCGAGGCCCGCGAGCCCACCCGTCACCAGCACCTGCGGGCTGCGTGGGCCCAGGGGAGTGCTGGCCGGTGGAGGTGCGACCTGTCTGCCGTGACTGTTGTGTGACCGCGGGGGGCTGGGGAGTGGCCGCTGGCCTGCGGGGCGGGTTGGTGCTGGCGACTGTCGGCAGCTGGCATGAGCCCGGTGTCTCCGGCGCGGGGGTGGCCGGGCGCTGCTGCGCTTTGTCCCGCCACATCCAGAGCAGGCCGCTTCGGTCAGGCTCGCCGCGCCCTGGGCTCCTGGACGTGGGCGGGATGTTGAGGCTGATGCTTGACGCTGTGAGGGGTGACGCTGGCGCTGGGCGCCGAGCCTGCGTCCCGCTGCAGCTGCCGGGCATGGGGAGGGGCTCTGGGAAGGCAGAGACACGCTCCGCAGAGGATGCAGAACGCTTTCGGGGTCTGCGGGTCCGCGGCTTTGTTTGCCTCCTGGTTTGGGGCTCGTGGAGGCTGCACAGAGAGCGGGGCTGTGAGAAAATGCAAGCGGGGGCCTCCCTGTGGCAGCGAGACAACTCCCAGCCCGGGGAGCAGGCGGTCAGGGGCTGGAGGCCTCCGCGGGGGCTGAGGACGTCCCTGGGCCGCTCTGCTCCTTGGACCAGCGTGTGACACCGGCCCGCTGGGGCGCTCGCAGGGACACACCTTGGCCGGCCTGCCCGCCCCCCAGGGCCTGTGGGGCAGGTAGCGAGGAATAGTGACATAGCTCACGACATGCTTGCCATATGCTCATGTTGCGCTTGACCCTCGCGGCCAAAGTGGCTGCAGAAGCTCCCGACATCACACCCGGGTCCCAAGGCACACGTCTCACCTGAGGCAGCTCCCGGGGAGACTCTCCCCCGCAGCTTTCACGCACATCTGTCTGCTGCGCCGTGGCCGGGACCCCTTGCTGTGTGCTGTGCCTGTGGGAAGGGACAGTGCCCCGTGCCAGCTGCCAGGGTGATGAGCGGGTGAGAGTCCTGTGTCTGCCCTGAGGGCTCCAACCCTGTGGCACAGACAGCCGTGGGGACGCGGGCACGAGCAGCCGGCCCCTGGCGCAGAGGTGGCGCCCCAGGGAGCCCTGCTGGGAGACAGCCACCACCGCCCTGACCGCTGGGCGGTAGCGGGACTCTGGGAGGACAGGCTGGGCGGGGCCGGGTGCGTGGGCGGGGCCGGGTGCGTGGGCGGGGCCGGGTGCGTGGGCGGGGCCTAACACCTCCTGTGGCTCCTGCGGGCTGTGACTCGGTGTGCTGGCGACAGGCCCCCGGGCTCTGGGGGAGCAGCCCCGGGTGGCGGCAAAAGCGGTGCAGACTGACTCTCGTGTTTCTTTCCTGCAGACGGCTCAGCCAAAGACCTGCCGTGGAGGAGCTGGAGAGGAGGAACATCCTGAAACGTGAGTGCCTGCCCCTGCCGGGCTGCGGCGTCGCGCGGGGCGGCGGCGGAGCGCTGGAGCGGAGCCGATGCTCCCAGAAGCAGCCCCTGAGTCGGGGCCCCTGAGTCAGCACCACGCGGTG